CTTGTGATGTGAAAAATGGTTTTCTAAACAAGTATTTTTGTTGTTTTTATTTACTAATTATTATATTTATAGCCTATTTATATTTATATTTTATAGCCTATTTTATTAGCTACATTTACTTTAGAAGCGAAATTATTTAAGATATGACGTATATAATAAAGCAGTATATATAAAGATATAATAATAAATATCTGCCAATGAGATAAGAAAAATAAAACATGTTTTCCTTTTAAATTGAGTTTATTTTTCTTACCCCATTTGCAGATTGTTTTTCTAGGTTTAAGTATAAACTCACTTAATTTTGCTAATTTGTTTCAGAAAACAAGGCTTAATACCTTTCAGTAATACAGCTTCTCAAGTAAATGCATCCTGATTTTAGATATTTGTACTGTTAAAAAAAAGTAAAAAATGCTGAGTAAGAAATATTTTTTTTAGTGACAGATCAGTCACTGAACTGCTGCTTATCGAATTCATTAGATAATTTTAATTGTCTTAAAAATGGGAGCTGAAATACAAAAAAGTGAAGGATTATATTTTGGAGCGAACAGTCGTCTGGCAGCTGTGTGAAATTGAAAGGAGCAAATCTGGCTTTCCTTGAGAGCGCTCTGAACACCGTGTGTGCAAACTAAGAGGATTAATGCTCTGATGTACAGAACAGCTCCACCAATTCTATAGTAAAGTGACAATATTGTAGAGTTTAGTTCGCTATATGCATTTAAAAGGAGTTTAGGAAACTTTTAGCAGCCTTTTTCAATTTTATGTTTGTTTTTGTAACTTCAGGGATTTGGACGCCAGGGCTAAAAGCGAGCGATACCGGGCACTTTTCCGCCTGCCGAAAGACGAGAAACTGGACGGTCACACAGACTGCACGCTATGGACCCCCTTCAACAAGATGCACATCCTCGGACAGATGTTCGTCTCCACTAATTACATCTGCTTCACCAGTAAAGAGGAGACCGTCTGCAGTCTGATTATCCCGCTCAGAGAGGTGCGTCCCGCCAGCCGCTCCACTCTAAACTAATGACATGACACTCGAATAAGTACACAGCATACACAATCAAAATTTGAATATGTATAACCATTTATCCTGCATTCTCCACCATCTTTCACAATCCAGTCAGTTGCTGCAGCATAAAGACATTTTTAAAGATTACACTTCGTGGAAGTAAAATGGGTTGTGCATCCTGTCCCTCTCTGTCTTCACTAGGTGACCATCGTTGAGAAAGCCGATAGCTGTAACGTCCTTCCCAGCCCCTTGTCAATCAGCACCAAAAACAAAATGACCTTCCTCTTTGCCAACCTCAAAGACCGGGACTTCCTGGTGCAGAGGATCTCGGACTTCCTGCAGCAGACCACCTCCAAAATCTACTTTGAGCGGGAAATCACAGGCAGCCTCAGCAGCTCAGACGACGAGGTAGGAACAGCTCTGTGCATTAATCTACTTGTATTTATTACTAATATTCTTTTTTTTTAAAGAAATTACTCAGTAAGCACACATGAAAATTTCCAATAATTTCGATTCTGTTAAACTTTCTATATATCAAAGAATCCTGAAAAAAATGTAAAAGATTTTGAAGTATTTTTAAATGAAAGGCTGCATTTATTTGATCAAAAATGCAGCAAAAACAGTAATATTTTGAAATATTATTGCAATTTATATATTGCAATAAACATTTTCAATTGTAATATATTGTAAAATGTAATTTATTCCTGTGATCAAAGCTGAATTTTCACTCCAGTCTTCAGAGTCACATGATTCTTCTGAAATCATCTAATATGCTGATTTGCTGCTCAAGAAACATTTCTGATTATTATCAATGTTGAAAACAGTTGTGCTGCTTCACATTTGAAGATACAGGATTCCTTTCTGAATGGACAGTTCAGAACAGCATTTATTTGAAATATAAATCTTTTGCAACATTATAAATGTCTTTACTGTCATATTTAATATGTTTAATGATTCTTTAAAAAAACATATTACAGAATATATGTCTAATTATTATTATTTTTCATGCATCTCTTCTGCTGTGCTGTGTGCAGGTGTCCTCTCAGCAGGGCAGTGTCTTGTCCTGTAGTCCCCAGCGCAGCGCTCTCGGCTCTGAGGGAGACAGTGACAGACAGTTCAATCTCAATGATAACAGGGTTCCCACTGCGACACAAGCCCTGATGACCATGTACCGCCGGCGGTCCCCGGAGGAGTTCAACCCCAAACTGGTACAGCTCCCTCATGCCTGATCACAAACACCACAGCATCGTGCTTTTATCACAGGAGCTGATGTACATTCAGTTCACAAATCAACAGGATTAGTAGAATAGAAATGTGTCCTGTCAAATACTGTAAGAGGCTGTGCATTAAAGTGATTTTACCATGATTAAGAGCTGCCTTTCCCCCTAAAAAAAAACAGTTAAAACTTTGCCATACATGACCTTGAGTGGCTTATTGCTTTTATAAAACAACAGGAAGACACCAATAGTTATATTTGTGTTTATAAATTAATATTAATTGTCAAAGTAAACGAATCTTATGTGAAGTTACGTAGTTCTTGAGCTTAATTATTGGCTGTTTACGAACAACACAGCATCTTGGTTCAGTGTTGTTTTAGTGTTTTTGTTTAATATTTTAAATTACATGTTTTGTTTTCATTTTAATTTTAGTAATTTTAGTTGTATTTTTGTCATTTTATTTATTTTTGTTAAATGTCTGTGTAATTTGTGTTCATTTTTATTATTAGTTGTAGTTCATTTAGTTTTAGTTATTTTATTTTTGAAGTTATGTTTTTGGGGGTTTATGCCTTTATTGTTGATAGGACAGTGAAGATAAGATAGGAAAGCATAGGGCAAAGAGAGGGGAACGGAATCGGCAAAGGACCACGAGTCGGGAATCAAACTCAAGTCGTTGGAAGCGAAGTTGTGCTGCATGTCGACGCATTTTTATATTTTATTTTATTACAAAATATAATCATTTCTAAATATTAATGTATAATAATATAGTATAAAAAAGTAAATATAATCATAATAATATAAATATTATAATATACAAAAATATATATATATATGCATTTATTATTATTCATTATTTTCATATATTATTTCACTTAACATGGATTTTATTTGAAGTAACAAAAAAAAGGTTTTACCCTGGTGCGGTTTATGGGCATTTGAATGCACCTCGTCCAGTCAGAGTTCAAAGCCTGAAGTCAGATGCAGGTTATTGCGTTGTTGTGGTTAAAGCAGATACTTAAGTAGGACACACACAGGAAGTGCAACTGATGAGAAGACCGTGTACAATTCATTCTCTTTGCTGACCCTGCAACAAATGATCTGAAAACCTGCTTATCCAAGTCATTCGCTTTAAAACTACTAGACTATGTTAATTTAGTCACACAGTATCAATGCGTGAGAGCGAAATGCATGTAAATCTTGCAAAGATATATACGTTGGGCATTCAGAATAATATTCTAGTCATTTTTGGGGGGATTTTGCTTGCAAGATTGTCTAATCTGAAGCTTTTATATACGTTAAATGCACCACGTTTTAAATTTGAGAATAGAAAGTTAATGAAGTTCACGGTTCACTGGCTTCGCTTCTTTGCCAGCGCTTATTTTCAAAGTCTGAGTCTCCTACATCAGCACTTGTGAAGCTGAAGTCAGGACAGCAGATGAGTGGTGCTCTTTATACTCATGTTTTCAGGCTAAAGAGTTTCTGAAGGAGCAGGCCTGGAAGAATCACTTCACCGAATACGGCCAGGGAGTGTGTATGTACCGCACGGAGAAGACCAAAGAGCTGGTGCTGCAGGGCATCCCGGAGAACATGAGAGGAGAGCTCTGGCTCCTGTTTTCTGGTGAGTCATGCATCCCACAACTGGCTCACAGACAGCAGAGAGAACAGCAAGCAATTCAAGCAATAAATAACTAACCAGATAATTAGTCCTATCGCCTTCTGTCTACTGATATCTTGTGTTGTTGATATCAAAGAGCCTGTGGCCAATTAGTTTCTACTTTTTTATCTGTCATTTGGTTGAAGCTAGTCAGATTAGATAGATGCCAAGATGAACAAGTTGTGTTAACCTCATTCTGCAAATAGTGAGGGAGAACAGCAAGCAATTCAAGCAATAAATAACTAACCAGATAATTAGTCCTATCGCCTTCTGTCTACTGATATCTTGTGTTGTTGATATCAAAGAGCCTGTGGCCAATTAGTTTCTACTTTTTTATCTGTCATGGTTGAAGCTAGTCAGATTAGATAGATGCCAAGATGAACAAGTTGTGTTAACCTCATTCTGCAAATAGTGAGCAAAATATGCGGTAAAAGAACATATGATCCAGACTACATTAAATATGATTTGCATGGAGCATGAGGTTTTTATGCAGCCAATTATTGTATGCATGTATAAATAAATAAATAAATATTTTTTGTTGGTAAAAATAATAGTTTTTTTAAATAATGAAAATAAAACAATAATACATTTTGTTTGATTTTAAGAACATTATTTTAGGAAAATAGGCAAAGTAAAAGAAAGTATGACCCAGATTACATTAAATATGCTTTGCGTGGAGCATGATGTATTTTATGCAGCCAATTATTTTCCAATATACAGTATGTATATATATATATAAAATGGTAATACGTATTTTTTTGAAAAAATAATTATTTTTAAATAATGAAAATAAAACAATAATACATTTTAGGCTTGATTTTTAAGAACATATTTTATTGTACTTTTATGCAAGAAACAATTATCAGCACTTAATGTTCCATGTAAAATCTGGATCCTGAAGCAATACCAGCCACTGCCCTAGACATTAGCAATCAGGAACAAAAACCTGGGCATGTTGAAAGGTGTTTACTCTCTTTTAATGCACCTGTTTTGTTGTGCGGTTGTTTTGTGGTTCAGCGCACGTACCTGTTTGTCTAATACAGCACTGCTTCCTGTTTGTTAGATGTGAGCGCCTTATTCAGAAGAGTCACACATGCACACTTCAAAGCTGTCTAGGCCAGTGCACAAACTGAAACACATGACTACACAAGCACATTTCTGTGGTAGTAAACAAATAGCTGCCTTGTTTTCCTTCACAGTTTTCTGCGTTAGCAACATTACAACATGATGAAATCACGGGATTGAAGTTACGTTGAAACTTGCGAAGCTACAAGCTTCCCATGATTTAAAGTGGTTAACTTATGTTAAACTACTCTGTTGAATTACCTGCCCAAGCTGCTCACTACATTGAAGCTAGTATAGTCGACAATAACGTTTATGTGATCTAATTATCATCTTAGACAGTTCAGTGAAATGTATCTAATGTGATACAGAAACAATGAGCAGGTTGTAAGTTGCAAGATGTAATCAAATGTACATTGAATTTTCAGTGCATCATTTCTATTAAAATTAGATACATTTTTTAATCTAATTAATTACATGATGTGTCGATTAATTAATAAAATAACTAATAAAATTAATTTGACTGAAAATACACACAAAAGATTATTTAAATTATTTTTGTATTAAATGGGAAAGTATCAAGTAGACATTACAAATTGTAGCTTTAGAAAGATATATTTATTTTGATTCAACATAAAATGTATTACACACAAACATTTAGGCTACAACGGCCAAACATAAACTATGGAACATAAAAGAAGATAATTTGAGAAACATTTTTTGTTCATACAATGAAAGTCAATGGTAACCAAAACAGCTTTGTTACCAACAAAAATGTTCCACAAAAGAAAGGTTTGAAATGACATAAGGGTGAGTAAATGATGACAGATTTTTGTTATTTTTTGGGTGGGGGGTGAACTATCCCTTTAATGTTTTTATTTTTAGTAGTATTCTTAGTATTATTTTTTTTATTTTTTTATTTTCATGAAACCATACTCCAAATAAGAAATTAATCTGCCAGCAGGTGGCGGTAAATGTCTTCATTGATTCTATTCAAACGGCTGATTCATTCAGGAATGAAGTAAACGGCTCACTTTATGAATGGGCCTTTGAATCATTGATTCATTCAGAAACTAAACACTGCTGTGTTGCTCGGAGACGCACAACAGTTCTGCTGTGACTTTAAAGGTAATATATTCTCTGCAAAATTGAGCAACAACACATAATATTGTGTTTAAAATATAACACAATATCAACTTCTTATTTACTGAACTGCTGTATAAAATCACATTTAAACTCGTGATATTCGAGAAAAACTCAGCACTCTTGATATTGCTCTCACTGCTGGTGTGATATCGTATGATATAAATATGAGACAAAAACTCAACTCAAACAAGGGCACTTTTTTGCACCAATATCTTGAATTTTAGGGCATAACTGCATTTATGGAGGTTTTGCCCTGCATCATATTTGTCAACAGTCAACTGTATGAAATGTAAGATGATGTACAGACGGGGCCAGTGCGTTAACTGCGTTAAAATATTTTAATGGCGTTATTTTTTCATAACTAATTAAGTTAACGCATTAAACTGACAGCCCTAATATATATATATATATAGAATTATCAAATTATTTTGTCCATGCCATAGAAAGAGCCTTTGGTGATGATATAAAATAAATAAATCTTTACTTAAAATAAAATAATGGGCAGGAATTAAAACCACTGGTATAATTGAACTCATCATGACCCAGTAAAATTATTATTATAATTTTTTTTTCAATTTGTGCTGCTGATAAGTTGATTGTTTGGTTGTTTAAGTGTGTATATTGGTGTGTACAGGGGCGATTAATGAGATGGCCACTCATCCTGGTTATTATGAGGATCTGGTGGAGAAGTCGATGGGCAAATATAATCTGGCCACCGAGGAGATCGAGAGAGACCTCCACCGCTCTCTTCCAGAGCATCCAGCCTTTCAGAATGAGATGGGCATCGCTGCTCTGCGTCGAGTCCTCACTGCATACGCCTTCCGCAACCCCAACATCGGCTACTGCCAGGTACGATGCACAACAACACACCTTCTGCAATAAATGCACCCACAGCTTGGTCATAATGCCGGTCTGTCGTCTTCCACAGGCCATGAACATCGTGACCTCCGTCCTGCTGCTGTACGCTAAAGAGGAAGAGGCCTTCTGGCTGCTGGTGGCCTTATGTGAGCGCATGCTTCCCGACTACTACAACACCAGGGTCGTAGGTGAGCTCCTGCATCATCCAGCTTCTCGAATGCATCAGCGAGCCACCAGATTTTGGATGCATAAATGAAAAGTAGCAGTGTACAATGAATCAAATGACCACATGGATTAGTATCGGTGAACATTAAACCACAAAAGACTGCTGTGTATAATTAAATCTGCATCTTCTGCACGTATCTGTGTGAATGAGTGGTGCAGTTTCATCTGTTACACGCTTACTCAGGCACACATGATGCTTACAGTGTTTTCAGCATCTGTCGTCTTACTATATGAGGAAATAAACGCAAACTTCATCGACAGAGCTGCTCTGAGAGTCACGTCACCAGTATTCCACCAATTCAATTCATAAAACTATTGTCAGATACACACAAAAACTCAAAGGTCTTAAAGGACATAAATATATTATAAAATAAAATAAATTAATAGTAAAATTAAATATAAAATTAAATAAAGTACGAGCAGAATTGTTTTATTAAATTGAAGAAATTGAGGCATAAATATATTACAAAATAAAATGATTTAAAATTAAATAAAATTGGAATAACCATGACCCAATTAAATAATTTTGTTTCACACGTGTTATTGTGTAGAATGTAGTTCTCAAAATAATAATAATATTATTATTGACGGCGATGACTTTAGATGACCCCACCATCAACTCTCTGTTCTGGCATGGGGCCAATTACCATCGCCCCGTGGACCTCCCAGACACCACGGGACTAAGCTGGAGGGAAGGGATCCTCTGGTGTCTGGAGAGCATCCGGCCCCGAGCCAGAACCCGTCCGCAGTCAAGCCCGCCGGCCGCAGCTCTCTCCGGCCCTCCAGCCGTTCCGATATCAAGCCCACAGGTCACGCCGTTCACCTCTAACCAAAGGAGGAGGATGAGGAGACTGTTCTCCGCCCTCATCCTAGCCCCAGAGCTCGCTCCAGTGACGGCTCCAGCCCCAGACCTCGCTCCAGTGTCGACTCCAGCCCCTGAGTCAGCTCCAGTGTCGGCTCCAGCCCCTGAGTCAGCTCCAGTGTCGGCTCCAATCCCCGAGTTTAGCCCAGAGAGGGCTCCAGTCCCCGAGTTTAGCCCAGAGAGTGCTCCTGTCCCCGAGTCTAGCCCAGAGAGGTCTCCAGTTCCCACGTCCAGCCCAAGGAGGGCTCCAGTTCCCACGTCCAGCCCAAGGAGGGCTCCAGTCCCCAAGTCAAGCCCAGGGACGGCCACAGTACCCGAGTCAGGCCCACAGATGGCCTTAGGGGTTGATATTATCCCTAAGTATTTTTTTTGGGTGGGGGGGGTTAATAGGGCTCCGGCCGTAGAGGCCAGGCCAAGGCCAAGACCACGGAGGCTGACCCTAGTCTGCCTGCTCCGCAATGGCGCCCTAGTCTGCCTGCTCCGTCATGGCTTCCCAGTCTGCCTGATCCGATATGGCACTCCGAACTGCCTGATCTGCCATGGGTCCTGGAACGTGTACTGCTCTGGAGCAAAAACACAAGACACATGACTGACATTACTCCCCCCCCCCCCCCCCCCCCGGGGCGCCCTCGCACCGTAGAAACAACATGGGGGGGGGGGGGGGGGGGAACTAGGGAGGACGCGCCCCACAACATCAACGGGGAGGGAAGAGTAATGTCAGTCATGTGTCTTGTTTTGCTCCCCACGTGTTCCATGACTCATGTTTAATTGTTTATTGATCCCAGGTGTTTCTCGTCAAGTCCTGTGTATTTAAAGTGTTTCCAGTTTTAGTTTCTTTGTCCGTTATTGAATGTCGTCTATCCTCTCCCTACGTGTGTGTCTGCCTGTTTGAAAGAATAAAGACCTTTGATGTTAATTCTCCTTCGTCTCCGCGCTCCTTCATCTCCTGCACAGTAGGCAAAGCGTGACAAATTAAAGTGGAAAACGCTGAATTTAGGAAAAATAAAACTGAATTTTAGAAAAAATAAAATGTTTTTCATAAGGCCCTATTAATGGTAAAATATGTAATAAATGATTAAGTTGTCAAAGTTTTGATTTAATTAAACCGTTAAAATAGAATCTAGAACATTTTAAATGGAAAACTGAGTTTGAGTTTGAGATTTCAATTTGAGATTTTAAAATGTCAGTATTTCATTCAGTTTTTTTTTTTCTCAAACTTTTAATAAATTGATGTTGAATTGCATGATCTCAGTTAATTGTGAATTTGGGAAAAAATAAAACCATTTTCATAGTGCCCTATGACACACATCCAGGAAGATCTGTGAGCATTGAGTGTGTTTGTGTGTATCTAGGTGCTTTGGTGGACCAGGGTGTGTTCGAGGAGCTGGCTCACGTCTGTGTTCCTCAGCTGTACGACTGCATGCAGGCGCTGAGTGTCATCTCCACCATCTCTCTGTCCTGGTTCCTCACGCTCTTCCTTTCCGTCATGCCCTTCGAGAGCGCCGTGGTGGTGGTCGACTGCTTCTTCTATGAGGGCATCAAGGTCATCTTCCAGCTAGCGCTGTCGGTGCTCGACGCTAACATCCATCAGCTGCTGAGCTGCAAAGATGACGGAGAGGCCATGACCATCCTGGGCAGGTAGGAGAACCGCATACTAAGTGTGGTATACTTCATAATGAGTATGTTGTAGTATGCTGTCTAGTAAGTATATATAGTATGTACTGTTCTGCAAAGTCGTATGCTGCATAGTATATACCATACTGTGAATTTAGTGAATGTTGCATACTACATAGTGAGTATATAGTCTGTAAGCAGTTCATGTTTATGTTGAGAGGTAATTATATTTAGCATACTACATACTAGTATACAGTATATTGCAAATGTATAGAATGTAACATACTATAAAGTGAGTATATATAGTCTAAGCAGTGTTTTTTGTGTACTACAAAGTGGTTTTATGCTGCATACTACAGAGTACACAGTAGACTGCAAATTAAGTTTGTATTGTACTACGTATCAAGTAAACCATGTTTGTTGTGTGATTATATGCGATATGATTATATGAGTTTACAGAATGCTGAATATTGTGAATATAGCATACTATATAGTGAGTATACAGTGGGGCAAAAAAGTATTTAGTCAGCCACCAATTGTGCAAGTTCTCCCACTTAAAAAGATGAGAGAGGCCTGTAATTTTCATCATAGGTATACCTCAACTATGAAAAACAAAATGAGAAAAAAAAATCCAGAAAATCACATTGTAAGATTTTTAAAGAATTAATTGGTAAATTCCTCGGGAAAATAAGTATTTGGTCACCTACAAACAAGCAAGATTTCTGGCTCTCACAGACCTGTAACTTCTTATTTATGATGAAAATTACAGGCCTCTCTCATCTTTTTAAGTGGGAGAACTTGCACAATTGGTGGCTGACTAAATACTTTTTTTCCCCACTGTATATTCTCTGTAAGCACAGTTTGCTAATGCTGTGTGCTGAAAAGTGAAAATATGCTGCATACTAAGTAGAGTATACAGTACACTGGAAATTTAGTGTTTCTAGTATACTGCGTAGTGAGTATTCACCATCTATAAGCAAAATATGTGAACCACAAAATGATTATATGTTACATTCTAAATAAGAGTATACAGTATCCTGCAAATTTAGTGTGTGTAGCATACTTTATGGTGTATATAGTCTGTATTGTATGTGTACTATAAAGGGACTATTCTGTAGTGTATGTAGTGTTCTACATAGGGACTATATGGTAATATATAGTGTACAACAAAAAGACTATAATGTAATATGTGTATATAGCGTACTAGAAAGGGACTATTCTATAGTATGTGTGTATGTAGTGTACTACATAGGGACTATACTTTAGTATGTAGCGTACTACAAAGTGACTAAATTGTAATGTGTGTGTCTATAGTGTGGGACTATACTGTCGAATATAGTGTACTACAAAGGGATTATTCTGTAGTGTGTGTGTATACAGTGTACTACAAAGGGATTATTCTGTAGTGTGTGTGTATACAGTGTATTACAAAGGGATTATTCTCTAGTGTGTGTGTGTGTATACAGTGTACTACAAAGGGACTATTTTGTAGTATACGTGTATATAGTGTACTACAAAGTGTATATATATGTTTGTGTATTTATAGTATACTACAGTATATATGGAATAGAAGGATCTATGTATGAAACCGTGATGATGGTGCTGATTTTCTTCATTTTGCTGACTCAAACGAGTGTGTGTGCTTGTGTGTGTGTGTTGTAGGTATCTGGACAGCGTGACCAATAAGGACAGCACTCTTCCTCCAATCCCTCATCTTCACTCTCTCCTGACGGATAATGGGGAGCCTCATCCTGAGGTGGACATCTTCAAACTGGTGCGCAGCTCCTATGAGGTCCGTTCATCTCCAGTTCTCAACTTGTATATCATAAAGTGTGTTCATGTGTTGTGTGTGTGGTGTTGCATGTTTGATGATGTTCACTGTGATCTGCAGAAGTTCGGCTCCATCCGGGCGGATGTGATTGAGCAGATGCGTTTCAAACAGAGGCTGAGAGTGATCCAGGCCATTGAGGACACCACCAAACGCAATGTGGTAATCAGACACTCTCCGTACTGACACTAGTGTAGTATTAGCCCTCAGTCAGAGGATCTGGGAGTTTAATATCTCATCCACTGGATTTGCAGGTGCGTACCATCGTGACGGAGACACCCTTCAGCATCGATGAGCTGGAGGAGCTTTATACACTCTTTAAGGTCAGTCCCAAGATGAGGTCATGAATCAGCCAGTAGCATTTATACAGCGAGTGTGCTGTGATTTTAAGATAATGACTCCTCTGTGCAGGAGATGGATTGTGTGTTAATATATTGCAGATGGTTGAGTTTTTATTAGAGTCGTGTATCTTCATCTTAAGCAGTTCTTCAGGACATTCATTAGCTCTCATTGACACAGCAAGTGCTCTGAGGGTTTCCTTGTATCTGGATAAAAGCCATTTCTGTCCCAAATGTCTTGTTAATTTAAATGAATAAAAGTGGTTATTAATCAGAGGATGCTTTCCATATGGCAATAATGAAAAGTAACAGCAAATAGCACTTCTCAAAAAAATGATGCCAGCTAGCTGGAGTAAAACCATTTTATTATTTAAAAAATAAATGAATAATAATAATTATTATTATTATTGAATTTATGATAATAATCATTTGTATGAATTAATATAAATGACAAAATAATAATTATTATTTTTATTATACATGCTATTTGTTATGTAATTTACTGGTTCTTGCTAAATAATTGTTTATTATTATTATCATCATCATCATAAATGTTATTGATCATCATCATCATAAATGTTATTTCATAAATGTTATTCTTGACAGAACTGTATTGTTTTGACATTATTTGCCTATATTTAATGGTGCGTACTAAGTAATTTTAAATTATTATTATTACTATTTTATATATATATATATTTTTTTTTTATTATTATTATGATGTAATATTAATAACAAAATCATATATACAGCCGGTAAAATAAGTATTGAACACGTCACCATTTTTCTTAGTAAATATATTTCTAAAGGTGCTGTTGACATGAAATTTTCACCAGATGTCGGTAACAAATACAAATAAGTTCAGAAATTAAGTTCTGTGTAATAAATTGGAATGACACAGGGAAAAAGTATTGAACACGCTTACTGAAATTTATTTAATACTTCGTACAAAAGCGTTTGTTGGTAATGACAGCTTCAAGACGCCTCCTGTATGGAGAAACTAGTGGCATGCATTGCTCAGGTGTGATTTTGGCCCATTCTTCCACACAAACAGTCTTCAAATCTTGAAGGTTCTGTGGGCCTCTTCTATGAATTCTAATCTTTAGTTCTTTCCATAAATATTTTCTATTGGATTGAAGTCAGGTGATTGGCTGGGGCATTCTTTCTTTCTCTGAAACCAATCGAGAGTTTCCTTGGCTGTGTGTTTGGGATCATTGTCTTGCTGGAATGTCCCTCATTTCATCTTCTTCATCCTGCTAGATGGCAGCAGATTTGTATCAAGAATGTCTCGGTACATTTTTCCATTCATCCTTCCTTCAATTATATGATTTTTGGCAGTGCCACACCATGATGTTTTGGGGGGATGTGCAGTGCCCTTTGACCTCCAAACATGGTGTGTATTATGGCATCCAAAGGGTACAATTTTGGTCTCATCTGACCAGACTATATTCTCCCAGTATTTCACAGGCTTGTCTAAATGTTGTGTAGCAAACTTTAAACCAGCTTCAACTTGCTTTTTCTTCAGCAATAGAGCCTTGCGTGGTGAGCGTGCATACAGGCCACGGCGGTTCAGTGCATTACTTATTGTACTTATTTTCTTTGAAACAATTGTACATGCTAATTCCAGGTCTTTCTGAAGCCCTCCACAAGTGATCCTTGGCTCTTAGAAAACTCTTCTGATAATTATTTTCACTCCTCTGTCAGAAATCTTGCGAGGAGCTCCTGGTCGTGGCTGGTTTATGGTGAAATAATGTTCTTTCCACTTCCGGATTATGGCCCCTACAGTGCTCACTGGAACATTCAGAAGTATAGAAATGCTTCTGTAACCAATGCCATCAGTATGTTTTGCAACAATAAGTTTGCGAAGGTCTTCAGAGAGCTCTTTGCTTTTACCCATCATGAAATGTTTCTTGTGTGACACGTTGGTAATGAGACACCTTTTTATAGGCCATCAGTTGGGACTGAACCAACTAATATTAATTTCCACTGACAAGGAGCAGGATTGCTTTCTAATTACTGATAGATTTCTGCTGGTGTCTTGGCTTTCCATGCATTTTTGCACCTCCCTTTCTTCATGTGTTCAATACTTTTTCCCTGTATCTACTTTATTACACAGAACTTAATTTCTGAACTTATTTGTTTTGTTTTCTTTGAATGTATGAATTACTTGTTACCGACATCTGGTGAAAATTTCATGTCAACAGCACCCTTAGAAATATATTTACTGAGAAAAATGGTGACGTGTTCAATACTTATTTTACCCGCTGTATAATATAAAATATTATTATGCTATTTATTTATCTTTTTTGTTTTTATTGAGATTGTCCTATTTATCTGTATTTTATTATTATTATTATTATTAAAATGTTATGATTATTATACTTTTATTTTCCTTTTTGTTTTACTTAGATTATTGTCGTTATATATAATGGTGCCTATCATTTTACATTTATTATTATTTTTATTATTATAAATGCTATGATTTTCATTCTTTTTATTTTTAATTTCTTGTTTTCTTGATTATTTATTTCAGTCATATTAAGTGGTACTTAAATAATTTGACTGAACCCTAAATTTTGAACTCATCTAGCCCTATTCCAGTTACTCTTCAAATCATACAGTCTGTTGTGGTAAACAGTAAAACAGATGAAACACATTAGTTGTGACCACTGCCCATCGCAGGCGCATTCTCATTTAAACATACAGGCTCCATTGACTGTATAACATGAGTGTTATGACCTGTGCATGATTTATGACCATCAGGCTGAGCATCTGACCAGCTGTTACTGGGGCAGCACCAGTAACCCCATGAGCCGGCACGACCCGAGCCTGCCGTACCTGGAGCAGTACCGCATGGATCTGGAGCAGTTCAAAGTGCTGTTTGCGCTGCTTTTCCCCTGGGCCTGCGGCACACACACCGACGACCTGGCCCTGCGCGTCTTCCGTCTGCTGGACCACAACGCAGACGCGCTCATAAACTTCAGAGAGTTCATCAGCGGCCTCAGTGAGTGCGCTTTATCATGACCAATCCCATGTTTGAAGTTGCAATCATCTTTTCTTTCCATATTTGTGACCCTGGAGCACAAAAGCAGTCTTAAGTTGCTGGGGTATGTGTGTAGCAATAGCCAACAATTCATTGTATGGGTCAAAATTATCGATTTTTCTTTTATGCCAAAAAAAGTAAAACGGCTTCTGGAACAAGAAAAAGGCAGGGCAGGATTTAATTTTTGTCCTTCTGGAATGGATTGTCTTGTTGGATCACTGCTGAAGAGAAGATATGTTGTTTCAAGAGGGAGGGAAAGTCATTTTGGTTAAAGATGATGATGAGGGAACATGCATTATTTAAAAATAATGATGTGCGTTGATAAATTATTTATAATAAACTCTGCAATATTCCATAAAAAATAAGATGTTGATTTTGATTTTATGGTGACTTTCCATAAAACTAAGTTATGGAAGTAAAATAAGTTTAGAAGTAAAAATGTCAAAAGCTATATTATGACCAAAAAATCTATAAGTGGACCCTAGGGTAAAAAAAAATTCATATGTGAATATGATTTAAAAATTTTAAAAACATTTAAATTCAGACTGCATAAAGTGTATGAGGTTGTTTGCTTTTGTACACATTTAAAACTTGATAACTTGGTTTCTATTGTAGGTGTCCTGTGTCACGGTGACCTGATGGAAAAACTCAAATTTCTGTATAAGATTCACGTACTTCCAGGTGGGTGTAAAAGAGAAAATAAAATGTTACATTGAAACATTGTTAACATGGTGCTAGAAATGAATGCAGTTCAGACTTGTCCTTGCTCATATTCCTGTTCGCCTTTGCACATATATGCATACTGTATATTATGTGTGGTAACTGTAAGATTATTAGTTGTGTTTCTCTTTTGTGAGCGGATATACGGATAAAAAGCAGGAATGAAAGTGAAGACGGATGTTTTCAATTACTTTACGTTGTTACGAACATGTCTGGGTCCAATTTAACCAACAAATCAAAAGAATAGTCCTTAAAGAAGATTGAAGAAAATGCAGCTTAATTATAATGTCCAGTTACATGTTCAGGGTGTTTTGTGATTTTGTGGTGTTACCTGAAATAGACTGAGCTCTAGAAGAGACTGAATGTATTTGTTGTTCTCAGAGTTGCACCATGAGCAGGAGGAGCCCGACTCGGCGTGTGAAGCTACGCAGTATTTTTTTGAGGACATCACCCCAGAGACCTCCAGCGGTACTGCTGCATGCTCACACTTACCATACAAAATAGGTTGTTGCACTGAAATTGCAGTGAAAATGATGCTTGATGCCTAGTCCAGAGACTGTGATCACTGGTGCTGATGCTTTGACCTCTCGTTGATAGGCCTCGACCAAAAGAACAGAGCCGAGAAGGACGATGGTTTTGTTGGAGTCACGTTTAAAAGTGAAAAAGGTGAGAGAAAACATCCTCTTCTTTGAATCAGAGCTGATGTTTGATGTTGGAGAGCTGTTTAAATGTGCAACACTCTGTCTTCTGTGTAGTTAAGAAAATGCACACTCCAGATTACCGCACGTACATGCGCCTGTGGAACCAGGAGACCAAAGCAAAGTTAGAGAACATGAAGGATCTGCCCAAACTCAACCAGGTACTTCTGGAGACCAGCCTAAGTTACTTCATCAGTGTAGCTCCTATTAAAACAACATGAGTTTCTATTCACAACTCATCAAATGTAGAGAGAAGTCACTTCAGAGGCTGAACATAAACCTTTTCTTTCTTTGTAGTGCATTGCACAATGAGACCAAAAATGTGAATTAAATAAAGAGATCATTTAAATTCGTGTTCACATAAACCTGATAAACTGTCAATGGAAAATGTGTTTAAAAATAGCTAGTATATATTGGTTTTTACATTGAAATATTTTTAATCTACTTTACAAACTTTTTTTTCTACTTTTTTTGGTTAAAATAATGGTTTCTCTGATTTCACACAAAAAAACAAAAAACAAATATGCAATAACTAATGTATATTGTCAAGTATGTATATGAAATAATTTTTTTAATGATATAGTAACAAACAATATTATATATAATTATTTAATTCTAGTAGTAATAGTATAGATTATTTTTAATTGAATGAATTTTTTTAGGTACAACTTTATATAATTCAGGTTTTATATACATTTGAAGTCAAAAGTTTACATACACCGTGCAGAATCTGCAAAATGTTAATTATTTTACCAAAATAAGAAGGATCATTCAAAATGCTTGTTATTGTTTATTTAGTACTGACCTGAATATTTCACATAAAATATGTTTACAATTAGTCCACAAGAGTAAATAATAGTTGAATTTATAAAAATGACACCGTTCAAAAGTTTACATCCCCTTGATTCTGAATACTGTGTTGTGACCTGAATGATCCACAGCTGTGTTTTTTTTTTTTTTTAGTGATAGTTGTTCATGAGTCCCTTGTTTGTCCTGAGCAGTTAAACTGCCTGCTGTTCTTCAGAAAAATCCTTCAGGTCCCACAAATTCTATGGTCTTTCAGCATTTCTGTGTATTTGAACCCTTTCCAACAATTACTGTATGATTTTGAGATCCATCTTTTAACACTGAGGACAACTGAGGGACTCAAATGCAACTATTACAGAAGGTTCAAATGCTCTCTGATGCTCCAGAAGGAAAAACCATGATCAGCTGACCAAAGTACTTTACAACATCAACTAAAAGAAGCAAAAGAGTATACAAATAAAAAGATAAAATCATAGAAAAAAATATTTATTTAAAATAGTGCTGTCAAACGATTAATCGCGATTAATCGCATCCAAAATAAAAGTTTTTGTGTACATAATATATGTGTGTATTTGTGTTTATATTTGTTATGTATATATAAATACACACACATGCATGTATATATTTAAGAAAAATGTAACGTTTGTACTACTGTAACAAAAACTTTTATTTTGGATGCGATTAATCGCGATTAATCGTTTGACCGCACTCATTTTAAAATAAACAAGTAGCGCAGGTTTGTTTATTCACTGGTAAAATCTGACTCTGTTATGATCAGTGTTGGGGAGTAACTAGTTACATGTAACAGAATTACATAATTTAATTACAAAACAAATCTGTTACAGTTACTGAGAAAAAATGTGTAATTAAATTACAGTTACTTATGAAAATGTTAACAATTACAAAGGGGGTTACATCTGAATATTTTCTTGATTGATTTCTTTCCCAAATTGCATTGACTGCTCTAAAATATGAGACACCAATGTTTCAGGAGTTTCAGACACAGAATATGACACATGCTTATTCAATAACTGATTGTTTTCCTATTTGGGTTTATGTATATGCTTTATTTTTTTAATTAAATGTTATTTTCCCCAAGTTATTATTAGATGGCAGTGTTTCCTGTGCAAGGATTTGATTTCAAAAACAGTATCCTAGCTATTAAACTATTTCTTATGATTTTAAGAAGATGTGTTGTTGTGGTGGCTGTGCTTAAATAAAAAATAAAATGAATAATTATTATCTTAATTCAAGTGATGAAGGATTTCGAAAGTCTGACAGTAATCAGTGTTGAGTACCACTGTAAGGTTAACCCTGCCTGCTTTAAAAAGCATTTTTGAAAATGATTAACGGTTTATAAAATTTAAAAAATAGACATTTAAATGAAGAAAAGCAATCAAATGTAATCAGTTACATTACTGTAATAAAGTAATTGAAATAGTTACACTACTTATTACATTTTGAATAGGGTAACTTGTAATCTGTAACCTATTACGTTTCCAAAGCAACCTGTCGTCTCTCCTTCTTCAGAGTCAGTTCATCGAGCTGTGCAAGACTCTCTATAACATGTTCAGCGAAGACCCCAGCGAGCAGGAGCTGTATCACGCCACGGCTACGGTCACCAGCCTGCTGCTGGAGATGGGAGAGGTGGGCAAGCTCTTCTGCAGTCCGGCTCGCAGGACAGACGAGGAGGACGAGGACGAGCGCATCCCGCCGAGCAGGAGCAAGCAGGAGCGCCATCATCTGGAGGACTCCTCACCCAAAGACTCGGCCACGTCCTCCGCCATGCTCATCTCCGACGACGAGACCAAAGACGACACCTCCGTGTCCTCCTACTCCGTCCTGAGCGCCGGCTCGCACGAGCTTCAGTGCGAGGACATCGCGGAGGACACCGTGCTCATACGCAGCGGCTCAGCGGCCGCCGGGCATCATGGGAGGAGCGGCTTGCCTCACAGCGCCAGCATCGACAAGGACTGGGCCATCACTTTTGAGCAGTTCCTGGCCTCGGTGCTCACCGAACAAGCCCTGGTGCAGTACTTAGAGAAGCCTGTGGAGATCGCCGCACGAATAACCAACGCCAAGAACGTTCGCAAGGTGGGACACCAACACATGTCCGTCAGTGACTATGAGATCTCGCTATCGGGCTAAAAACGGTTATCTCTGTGTTCAAAACTGTGTTTGGGGGTTAAAGGAGTAGTCATCCAAAACATACGATTTGAGCATGGTTTACTCGCTTTTATGTTCCAATCCTGACTTATTTATCGTGAGAAGTTAATGCTAGTTTCTCCATACAGTGAAAGCGGATGGTGACCATCTCTGTCGAGCAAAAACATGACAAGAAGCACCATAAAAATAGACTTGGACACTACATAGTGAGTTTTCTGAAGCCATATGCTAGCAACTTAAAGTTCATATGTTTCCCTTACAAACCTCACATTTTATGACTAGACATTTTATAATAAAAATAATGGCCACTTTTATGATGTTTCATTGTCAGCTTGAAATGTTATATGCACTGTTTGATTTTATATTTTATATGAGGCGTGCTGTTTTTGCAGCAAACGGTTTCACACGAAAACCCCTGATTGGTGTGACTTCGCGGTTTCCAGCAGTAAATCTCAATATCAAATGACATAATATAAGACTTATTCACTATGTATTGAGTTTTTGAAGCCATATGCTAGCACATTATGACTTAAATTTAGTGTGTTTCTCACATAAGCCTATTTTTAGACTGTTTTGTAATAATTAGCCACTTTTATGATGCTTCGTTGTCATTTTTTGGAGCTCGAAATCTTCCTCAGGAGGTCAAAATGTTTTATTTTACGTTTTATGCAAGGCTTGCAACTTTTGCAGCACTTGAACATTTTTGGGACTTGTCTATAAACAGTTTCAACCCTGATTGATGTATTTTCACTGTTTTCTAGCAGTGAACCTAAACGTCCAATGAGATAACATACTTGTGCACGATTTAATGTGCTTTCTGAAGCCATACGCTAGCAAATAACAACTTACATTTCAGTATGTTTCTCACAAAACCTATTTTAGACGTTTATTGGCCATTTATATGATGTTTTAGTGTCCCTTTTGGAGCTTGAAATCTCCTTTCCCCATTGTATGGAAATGAGCAGCCTGGACATTTGGCTAAATATCTCCTTTTGTGTTCTACCTTAAGAAATAGCCTCATGCAGGTCTGGAACGACACAAACGTCAGCAAATGATGACGGAACTTTTATTTTTGGCGAACTGTCCTTTTGACTAAGCCTAATCTGATCTCTTAAATCAGCGGCGAGCTTCAAAGGCTTGATGTTCGCGTGAGCTCGTTAGGGAACGGGCAGTAACGAGTTTTCCCGGAGGCTTGTCTTTGATCTGAGGACAGAGGACAAAGTCTGAGAGGACCTGTTGTATACTACGATGCGCTGGATGTACTTTATATACAGAAATGGTTACTAATAATATCTAATACAGTTAGACTGTATATCATAGTAATCGAGTCTAGAATAGCTCACTAGTCCTGATTGGGATAAAACACGTTCTTAATCTGTATTATTCTTTGATGTTGATGATTGAAGTTACTTAAGAAGCAAAACTGTGTGCACGAATTCTTAGGGAGAAAAAATGTTCATTAAAATATTTATGCTAAAAACAAGAACAAAAACACACATTTTTTAAATAGTGTATTTGTATATACAATACAGGTCAACTTTACATTTATTTTACGTTATAATATATTCTATAATAATAGTCTTATGCAATCTTATGTGTATCTTCTCAAGATTTCGATATTTGTTCTTTGAAATAAGGCGAAAACTTTAACGTGAGAGAGTGTTTACAGGGATAGTGTGGAGAAACGTCTGTGGTATTTAACACTGGGATGTTCGATGTGTCTGGGATTGTTGGAATGACGTTTTCTAAGTCATCTGTAATTTCCCAGATTTCTCATTTCTCTCTTCCTCTCTCAATTCCTTGCACACCTGCACTTTGGGTTTTTCTTCTTTGTAAATCGTGAGGATGTTCATAATCTGTCAGCGCTGAAATATCAGTCCAGCTGTGCTTGATATCTGATTTCTAGTGTTTGCTGAAGACTGATTGTGTACAGTTTTTATTTGACCGTGTTCTCACCAGGCATGTGGCATGTCTGTGCACCTTCTCGTAAGTTATTGTTTGATTGTGTTTTTTTTAAATAGACGAGCTACTACTTTATTTCATGCTGCTGTTTTTAAGTTGACGTTTTAATGTGAATGGTTGAACTCGACCTGTAAATGATTGAGATCACTTCCAGCAATTAAAAGTTTAAATGGAAATATCCTATCCTGTAATCAAAAACTCTTCTGTTTCATTTATTGTTTACTGTATTGCCGTACAAAACGTGGGGTAAAGCTACTGAGAGTGTTTTTTGTTGCTGTTATTGTTGTTGTTTTTTTAATATATATTTTTTATTTTGTAAAGTGTCAGTGAAAGGATCCTCAGAAACTGCTTTTTTTTACTTTATATAAGGTTTGCATTTTTTTGCAACACTTGGACATGCTGTGATTTCTATCAATAAACCTTAAACGTCAGATTAAATGACATTTCAAATGAAATCTTAAGTTTTAATAAAATAACATTAAGCCAGAATGGGTAACATGGACGCGGCTAAATAAAACCGTCACAGAAGTAGCTAGCTAGTTGATGCTGATATTTTGGCTAGTAGTTAGTAATAAACTATTTTTTCTGATCAATTTAAATGTATTTTAAATTAATAAATTAATTTATTATTACATTTGATGAATAGTTAACTTGTAAATTTGCATAAAAATTTAGAAAATAGATAAATGTTTTTGTTTATTAAAGTTAAATGTTATTTAATGTATTTTCTATTTGTATTTATTTTAATTTTTTAACATTTCATGAGATTTAACATTTTTCATTTATTATTTACTTTTTGTTTGTTATTTACATTTTATTTATTATTGAATTTTTATTTAACCCCAGATAAAATATTATTGTTGTTATTGTTACATTTTTATTATGTTAGGGAACGGGCAGTAACGAGTTTTCCCGGAGGCTTGTCTTTGATCTGAGGACAGAGGACAAAGTCTGAGAGGACCTGTTGTATACTACGATGCGCTGGATGTACTTTATATACAGAAATGGTTACTAATAATATCTAATACAGTTAGACTGTTTATCATAGTAATCGAGTCTAGAATAGCTCACTAGTCCTGATTGGGATAAAACACGTTCTTAATCTGTATTATTGTTTGATGTTGATGATTGAAGTTACTTAAGAAGCAAAACTGTGTGCACGAATTCTTAGGGAGAAAAAATGTTCATTAAAATATTTATGCTAAAAACAAGAACAAAAACACACATTTTTTAAATAGTGTATTTGTATATACAATACAGGTCAACTTTACATTTATTTTACGTTATAATATATTCTATAATAATAGTCTTATGCAATCTTATGTGTATCTTCTCAAGATTTCGATATTTGTTCTTTGAAATAAGGCGAAAACTTTAACGTGAGAGAGTGTTTACAGGGATAGTGTGGAGAAACGTCTGTGGTATTTAACACTGGGATGTTCGATGTGTCTGGGATTGTTGGAATGACGTTTTCTAAGTCATCTGTAATTTCCCAGATTTCTCATTTCTCTCTTCCTCTCTCAATTCCTTGCACACCTGCACTTTGGGTTTTTCTTCTTTGTAAATCGTGAGGATGTTCATAATCTGTCAGCGCTGAAATATCAGTCCAGCTGTGCTTGATATCTGATTTCTAGTGTTTGCTGAAGACTGATTGTGTACAGTTTTTATTTGACCGTGTTCTCACCAGGCATGTGGCATGTCTGTGCACCTTCTCGTAAGTTATTGTTTGATTGTGTTTTTTTTAAATAGACGAGCTACTACTTTATTTCATGCTGCTGTTTTTAAGTTGACGTTTTAATGTGAATGGTTGAACTCGACCTGTAAATGATTGAGATCACTTCCAGCAATTAAAAGTTTAAATGGAAATATCCTATCCTGTAATCAAAAACTCTTCTGTTTCATTTATTGTTTACTGTATTGCCGTACAAAACGTGGGGTAAAGCTACTGAGAGTGTTTTTTGTTGCTGTTATTGTTGTTGTTTTTTTAATATATATTTTTTATTTTGTAAAGTGTCAGTGAAAGGATCCTCAGAAACTGCTTTTTTTTACTTTATATAAGGTTTGCATTTTTTTGCAACACTTGGACATGCTGTGATTTCTATCAATAAACCTTAAACGTCAGATTAAATGACATTTCAAATGAAATCTTAAGTTTTAATAAAATAACATTAAGCCAGAATGGGTAACATGGACGCGGCTAAATAAAACCGTCACAGAAGTAGCTAGCTAGTTGATGCTGATATTTTGGCTAGTAGTTAGTAATAAACTATTTTTTCTGATCAATTTAAATGTATTTTAAATTAATAAATTAATTTATTATTACATTTGATGAATAGTTAACTTGTAAATTTGCATAAAAATTTAGAAAATAGATAAATGTTTTTGTTTATTAAAGTTAAATGTTATTTAATGTATTTTCTACATTGAATATTATTCAACACCAACTCTATGTATTTGTATTTATTTTAATTTTTTAACATTTCATATGAGATTTGACATTTTTCATTTATTATTTACTTTTTGTTTGTTATTTACATTTAATTTATTATTGAATTTTTATTTAACCCCAGATAAAATATTATTGTTGTTATTGTTACATTTTTATTACTTTTTATTATTGATTTACTTTTGTTGTTAACTTTATTTATTTGTTTATTTCATAGGAGATTTGAAATGTAAAATCTCATTAGCAGTAGTAGTAGTATAAGGAAAACATTTCTTTGTTCTTTTCTTATTTCTTTGTTTTTATTGTTTGTTGGTTTGTTCTCGAGGGCGTTGTTTTTCTGCTTGGTCATTTTGAACGAGGCTGTTGTTGAGTGTTTATCCACTAGAGGCAAGTAGAGCTGTGAGACTCTGTCATATGCACAGACTGGACTGAGGCCTTGTGTTTGCTCAGAGCTCAGGGCTCAGGGCTGTAGCGCAGCGATGTGTCCTGAATGACGTTTAGAGGGTGTGAGCGCAGACGTCCAATCACACGCCACTGTTCTCCATTTGGCTCAGTTCTGGAGATACTTGGCACCAGCACTCACATACTGACAGCATGCGGTCTCAGTCATCACTGGGCGCTTTGCTTGCGAAAACTCTTCTCTCAGCCTTAAAATGACCTTTCTTAGGATCAAAATATCCTGTAAATAAAGCTATTTACTACTTACTAAAGCACTTTCCCATCACTAAGCACTTGATAAGTCAGCTGTTTATCTGTTCCGGTTATCCGCTTACCTATCAAGTATTGTTTTATCTTTAACCTTCTGTCTTTTGTACTCGATCCAAGTATTGTGCCATAGATTAGCAATGCAAACAGTAAAATCCCTGTACATTTGCCGTTTATGAATTAACCAATACAATCAAAGTCTACTGCAATACTGCACAGTCGACAACCTGCAGAGTAGCACTCTGTCGCAATATAATACTGTCAGCTTCATTAATGCACTGGTGTGGGGTTTTATTACACAGGAAGCTGGGTTTGAAATATTACATTCAATTTTTTACAAAATGTTACATTTTAAGTTATTTATTATTTTAAATGCCTTTATGTATTTAATTTTTTATTGTTCATTTTTTATTATTTATTAATAATATTATTCATTTTTATTTGCATTTATTTTTATTAACTTTTTTATTTATTTATTTATTTCATATTAGATTTTTGCAACCCCATATAAATATTATAAATATAAAATATAAATAATAAATATCAATCAAATAATAATGTAATTACTACTAATAATTATAATTACAAAATGACCTTT